GGTTATGAAGTTTTATACAACAGTGATGGTGGTCTAGAGCTTGTCGGATTGGTCTCGGACCCAGATTCGGTTGAGTGTGAGTCTGAAAATTTTGAATCTGATGGACTCTAGCTGTTTGAGAAATTTTTAGAGTGCGCTGATCACCGAATACAAAAAGTACTTCGATCTTCGAGTGATTATCCAATTCCAATTAGAAAATTTCATTGAGACTATCAAAGTACGGTTCAGCAGGGTCCGGATTCGAAAATTTTGAACTCAATAGGCTGTATGACAATCATCGATTCACTAGTCTACAGTGAAGCATTGCACTGATCTAGACATGTACGTACAGAATAACGGTAAAGAGAGTGAAGGCATGATAAAACTATATAGTGATCTTTGATTCATTTTGACTTTTTCGGTCAGACGAGGTTTATTTCAACAAAAACAGCTGAATTTTATAAAATATACCTAAACGGTGAGACCTAAGCCTTTGTTGAATGAGAATACAGAACTTATGAATTTCAACAAATCTTCTATAGATTCGAATTTCTAGACTCTGAAAATCTTTAGCCTATTTTTAAAAAAATTCAGCTATTTTCTTGGGATGCCCTCTTTGACCGAAAAAATCAAAACCAATTCAAGATCACCATATAATGTCATCAAGCTTTCACCGTTAGTCTATACGGACATGTTTAGACTAGTGCAAAGCTGTATGTAAGACTGGTACACCGTCATCACTGCATCTCTAGCCCGTAATCAGTACTAGTTTCATCTCTGATATTGACAACTGAAAAGATGACCTGAATGCCTCACAAAGAAGATTAACATAACGAAATATGTGACAAATTTCGAAATTTTTTTCTCGAAACAAAGGCGCAGCTTTTTGGAAAATAATCTCCGTCAGACAGTTACTATACACTACCAGTATTTATTTCCTCTCAAAATCTGCATTTTGCTAACCAACATTCAGTCACTATATTAATTACTTTAAATAACCAACAAATAATTCATCTCAAAACTTTTACGACAGATATTATTGAAAAACAAGTCAACATACCTGACTTGATATGGATCAAGTTTAATAATGAGTAACACGTTCATCACCATAACTCTCTAATGGATTAAATACTGTGTTATTTTCCGTAAAACCAGTTGCTCGTGGTTGTTGAATACCACCAACAACATAACCTTCACGATCACGTCCTTTTCGATTCATATCAAAATGGCTATTTTATAATAAATAAAAGAATCTCGATGTAGTTTTTTTTTTTTAGAAAAAAAAAATTTGTCATACTTTATTTGATAACTTGTAATAAATCGACGTGGATCATCAAATGTTTGTACATAACCATTTTCATTACTTATTGGTCCTATTGTTTCTTTTGGTCCAATATTCAAATTACCCATTTTTTCAGGTAAAAATTGATTACCAAGATAATGTTTACGATATTCACTAAAAAAAGAAATTTTTTTTTTTCGATTCAAAATTCAAGACGATAAATAAATTACATACATAGAATCTGGTACAAATAAACCACCAGCATAAGGTCCTTCGCCAGTAGGTAAAATTGTAAGTAACAGATCATCACCCTAAAATATCTCATACACTAATCGATCGCAAACAACTCCACACGATAAGGTCTGCCATCCATCTAAAGTATTATCAAATATACATAGCATGAATGGCGAACATTTTTCGCTGAAATATATATAATTTAATTCATTTTTTTCATGCTAGTCTCGAAAATAGTTTTTCATACAAAAATGGTTGAAGTCGTGTTGAAAACTAACCGAAAAGAGAGTGTCTAATCAGGTAATTGTGAAAAATTCCAGGCTCGGACGATTCTTTAAAATTTTTTTGGATGAGTGTGTGTTGTAGAAGAAATAATGGCAGAGTTTTTCAGAAAGTTTCACGAAGGAGTTATCTTTTATTTCCGAGAAACGTTGACTAGATTTTTTCGAGCTATTTGTAGATGTACTGCTTTGATCTCATGATGATCCAGATATTTCTTCGAAAAAAAAGAAAATGTATCAAGTGTCTATATGCATTTTGCAGAGTCAAAAAAGACGCAACGAATCACAATATTCAATATCAAAAATATTTGCGGACAGGAAAATTTCGTTCATACCAATGTTTCACTATACATGTACCTCCGATACATAAGCTTGTGAGTTATATCGGCTTCTCACCAATAATAAAAAGACAAATCTATGAAACCAATATATGCATAATAACATGCCCTTTCATGCTGTGTGTATTTTATAATACTTTAGAGGGATAGCAGATTTCGACTCTTATCATGCGAAGTCCTTTATTAAATAATTAGATTTACTTTTGGATAATTATA